GGCTCAGTGGCTTCTGGCTTCCTTGCACAAAACAGGCACTTCCAGATGTGGTAATGTAATGGAAGGCTTTGCATTTCCGTGATGACTGGTTTGTGCCCGTGCAGGCGATGTGGATTTGTGTTTCATTTCCTTGGCCTGTTCTGGTAGAAGAGCAGTGTTCAGGACAGGCCTCTGGAGAAGGGAGAGCAAGCCCCATTGCCCATAGGACTGATGGGGCCTGGGGTGGAGGGAGCTCCTTAGAGGGCTGCTGCCTTCCCAGGCCTGGCAGAGGTTAGGAGCTGAGCTCAGGGCTTTTTGCTGCAGGCAAGTCGACCGATGGCTTTCTGAATGAAGAGGCACGGATAGGTCTGCACTCTCACTGACTAACATGGGAGGGGTGTTGCTGCAGTTTCTGTGGGGTCTGTAGGTTTTGGAATTGTGCTTTGGGTTTAAACATCTGAGTTAGTCCTTAGATTTCTTTTGGTAAGCTCAGGTTTTGGGAACGGATTGAGGCCTGATGCACAACAGCCCAGGACAGCTGTCTCCTCTCCCATCAGTGCCGTCACCGCAGGGGAGGGCTGGTTTTAGAAACAAAGTTTCTATGCTCGGTGAAAACCTGGTCAGCCCCGTCTTTCCTGGTCTGTGCCCCCACAGTAAGTTTGACAGGAGCTGCCAAAGACCAGCAAGCAGTGCCCTGCTCTGGGCTGCAGAATGGTCCAGGCATTCCTCGCTGAAAGCAGACTGAAATTACCCTAACGCGAGATAGGTAGCACGGCACAGAGCTAACCCTCGCCTGAAGTGGCATAACTTTGAGGGCACTAAGCATGACTTAGAAAGCTTTAACAAGCAGGTGCTCATGTTTTAGATGTTTTGTGTAAGAATACCCTTAGAGACCTGAGACAAGTCTGAACCTTTTGGCGATTGCTGTTTGGCTCACAGTGCTGTTAGCTTCCTGGGCTTTGGTCAGATCCCACCGCAGGGACCAACCAGCTGCCCTAATTCAGCACTTTGGGAATGAGAAGAATAAAGAGAAAACATTTCTAATTTGGTAGAAGAGCTGCTTATTGCCCTCAGCAAGGGATTAGAAAGTATGCGACTCTGCTCTGGGAGAGAACGGAGGCACAGGGTTTTCCCAGCTAATGTTCTGGCAAGCATAGAAGCGCGTTAGCAGTAACAACTGGGTGTTTCTTACTCCTTCGTGTTCCTTGGGCCTTAGCCACATCTTGTTTTATATTTGGGATTGTTCAATGGTTTCTCCACTCTGGCAAAAAGAGCTGGCTGCCCATCTTTGCTAACAGTTACCTAGCTCTTCATACATTTGTGTAAGAAACCGGAACCTTTGCTCTGTCTTTAGGTACAGATTAATTGGCAGCCATTCTCTTCGATGTGTGCTCGATGTCGGAAGCAATGTTCGTTGGGATGGCGAGTTTCCCTACTGTGAAAGTAAGATGATTACATCTAATGTCTTTGACTTGCCCTAGATACAAGTGGGCTTGTGTCTGGTGAAGGAACCGAAGAGCAGTTGGAGCTGTTCTCTCTCTTCTTTGTGCCATAGGGGGATAAAGGGAGCCTGGGCACAGGTGTAGGCCCCAGTACACGATGGTCTTACACACCCGTGAGCATTCACACCTGTGACGTAGAATACAGTGGCCAAGACCTCACAAAGCATCACAGTAACTGTAGAGTAGAGAACTGTTCCTTTCTACTGAGCCGTACGTGTCTCCAAACCTTGTTGGGGAGGACTGAACGATTAGATTCATTTTAGATTTGCCATGGTACAAGAAAAGCATATTCATTTTAGACTTGCTATGGTATAAGACATGCTGCCTTTGGATTAATCATCTCAGGATAGGGATGGATGTAACATTTGGAGCACTTCACAGTGCAGGTGCACTGCAGCAGGGGGATGTGGAGCCAGTGTCAGCGAGAGAGCTCCTCTCTGCTCTGTCTGCTCTGCTGCAGCCCTGTGCCACCCCGCTAGCAGAGCCAGGCCAGTGGGTGTGGGGAGGGACACTGGGATTGGGGGCTGGAGAGCAGGAATCCCCATTTCATGGGAGGGAACATGGGGCTCTGGTCTCCCAGTTTCAGTCCCTTAAATGAAACCACATAATGTCTAATAGGTAAATGACCTTGCAGTGATTTTCCTGGCCTGAGGATGGGCTTGTTTCCTTTCCTTCCTTTCTCGCCCATAATCTCCTCCCTCTGCAAAACACTCTTGTCAATGCTTTAATTTCCAGAGGTGAAGTGTCTAGCCCCGGTGGTTCCACATGGGAAAAAAAAGTTTGGATCAGTCGCTGTCTATTCCTATGGAGACACAATAACATTTGAGTGCAATCCTGGCTACTCCCTGAGGGGAGGTAGTGATGGTGTGATTCGATGCGCAGAGGATAACACCTGGAAGCCTTCTGTGCCAATCTGTGACCCCCGTGAGTATTAGCTGTCTACTCACCTGTTTGAAGTGGCACATGGGATAGCACTGAGTGGCTGCCACAAGGGTCAAGGCTTGTCCTTAGGACTGTTGGCCTCCTGTGCCAACACGTGACCTGTGCAAGTAGAAACAACCTATGAAATGAGTCTGTAGTTGAATGACATTTTCACTTGTGTGTTAGGAGGCAGCACTTGAAATGTTTCTGGAAGAGAAAAGGCATAATTTCAAGGTGACAGCTTTTAATGCCAGCCTGCTTTGTCTGATGGGTTTGGTGCTGCTGCGTGTGTGGTGCAGCACGCCTGTCTAGGCCTCAATGTGGAGGAGTGGACTGCTCGTCTCTCCTGGCACTAAGCTCCTTTCTTTATGCAAAGTCTAAACTAAAAGCAGCCCTAAGAGAGCCCAGGTGAACCTGGGGCTTGTGGATGGGAGCGAGACGACTATTGTGTTCCTCTGAGCCCAGCGTCTGTGGGTTCTGGGGCAAAGCAGGACTTGAAATGCTGGCTAGCTACCTGGCTGCAGGTAGAGGTGGAGGGCGGGGTGTGGCTGGCCCTTGAGCTGGTCCTGCAGCCCGTGGAGTTGGTCCTGCAGTGGGCACTTGGCCACTTGGGGCTACTGAGCCAGCCCCACCGTGCAGCTCTGGTACTCTGCAGTAGGATTGGTCTCACTGCTGCTAGGCAAACTCCAGTGCAGACCACCAGCGGTGCTGGTTGAAACCTCTGGCTGTGCGAAGCCTGTCTGCCTGGATACTAGAGATGATGGGTTTGAGGAAAGGAGGCTGTGGTGGTCCTGGTTTTGTTGAAGATATCACTGTTAGCTTTCTTCCTGAAACATTCAATATAGTAGTCCAGTGTGTAGCTTTTTCTGCTGGGAAGTGTCCAGTTAGATTTTTTTGTTACTCTTTGTTTTATCTGTTGTGCAGGAAGGTTGTTAGAGGTTGGTGTGGATGCGCGTTTTCAGGGGAAGACTGCAGAGGGATTTCTTATATTTTTCCAGGTTGCCTCCCTTGGCACGTGTTCAGGTCATTGAAGAGTATTTCTTTCAGTGTGGGATGTGTAGTGTGGTAAGTTAGCGATGTTGGTCTTGTGATTCTCCTTGTGGTCCTGGCACACCACCTGCGAGGTGGCTCTTGTGATAGCTGATTGCACTTTTTGTTCCTAGGTTGGATGGCTGTCAGCTTGTACATTTTTATGTAAGTGTAAGAAGTGGAGCCACATGATAAAAACATGAGGGCCTATCATGATGCTGATGACTGCTTTTGAATCAGCATCTCAAGAAATTTAGAGATGCTGTGTTCTTCTCAATCTGTGCAACTTGTTCCCCTTGCACATTCTCATGGTACCTAACCACTTTGGGACCCACAATGGCAGATGAGTGGGGCTTCATTTCCAATAAAGTGATCCCTGCTTCCTTTAAAGTTCTCTTGTTTTTTGCTTCTCTTCAGAGGAGCCCCTCCCTTGTTCCTTCATGACACTGGCCCTGCGCACACAGTCTAGGTTTCAACCAGGAAGAGTCTTAGAGCTCTTCCTGATTGTTACTGTCGTGACTCGGAGTCCCAATGCCTGGGATCCTTCCTGGTGAATTGGTTGAATAGTGGCTGTGGCTGCCTCACCCCTTAGTGTGAGGGACACGGGCATACTAGGATCTGGAGATCTGTATCACGGCCAGGTCTATTGCACACATCATGGGGAAGTCTTCCTTTCCTATTCTCTGATACCTATTGGTGTTTGCTGGGGTGGAGATGCACATCTTCTGGACCTGGCCGATGGTTTTGGCTGGTAATGTTAGAATTGGAGATCTCCCGGATTATGGTTGGAAAGGTCTGAGTGGACACCTGATGCTAGCCTAATTCCTGAGGCGGCCCCACTTGCACATCCCCGAATACATGCTCCATTTTGAGTGAGTGCGTACAACCCCTCTTTCAACTTTTTTATGCATACTACTTTTTAATAAGTACTTGATCATGCATGTATAGGGCATAGGTGAGCCATGCCTGAGATCTCCCTGGATAGTGCATACGTAAGCACTATCCAGTGCTTTTCATTCCATCCAGGAAGAGCACATACCAACTGCTGAAACATCCTTAGCCTGACAAAGGGTTTTTGAACCCAAAAGCTTGCTTAATAAATATTCTCCAACTATTTGGGTTGGTCTAGTAAAAGATATCAAATTCACCCAAGGAACCTTGTCTGCCTACGTAAGCGCTAGTCCTTCAGGTAAAAAGAACTATCAGTTGTTTCTAGTTCAGAGCTCGGGAAGGTCATTTCCATGCTAAACAAAACAGGGTGGCTCCTTCTAATTTCTCTACTTCTGCTCTTCCGCAGCTCTAGGAAGTGGCCTGTGCTGTCAGTGCTCCTGTGAAGTACCAATAGACAGTGTTTTGCACACTCCCTTCTGGACATGCATTGCAAGGATTTTCTCTTTCTGGCTTTTTTCCCACGGCTCGCTAGCTTTACATGTCTGTGATCATTTGGGGTTGATTTGTGCAGGTGTGCTGAATGTAGAGCTTGGGAGGGTTTAGGAGCTGATGGTGAAGATAGTGCTGCACTCTGGCCACAAGTGAATGGGCCCAGAACTGTGAAATCTCTTGGGAGAAGGGAGCAGTGTAACGAAGAGATCCTGTACCCCCGTGAGCATGCCACATAGCCTTTACTGGTGCCATGCTCCATCACTAGCTGATGGGTTTTGAGTCCCCGAGGCAAAAGGCGTTGGAAGTACCCACAAAGAAATTGTGCGTCTGGGGGTGTAAAGGCTGAGTGAAATGGCACTGGAGAGTGATCATTAGGAAAACAGAGTTGCCTATCAAAGGCACATATTAATGGAGATTGCATGGTGTGTACCCCAGGAAAATGAAACCATGCATTTTAGGTTGCTTGCTCTTGGATAGACTGTGTATGAGTCTGAGATGATGGGCTCTGGAACAACCCTTTTTGTTCTGTGGATTTAACTGAGGTGCAAAGGAGACAGAGAGGAGGTGCAGTTTGGTGCTGGGGAACTGTGATTAAACCTATATCATCTCTTCATTTTAATGTACTTACCTGCATGTCTCATGTTATGTAGGACCGGCGGCAAATTCAACAGAAGAGGAAGCTCAACCTAAATCAGGTAAAAAGAAAAAATCCTTTTACTGACTCCAAATGTTCTGAGGTTTGCAGTTGTAAAAAAAGTTGTGTATTTTGTGACTATATTCGTGGATGGGTTGTGTGAATGCTGAGGTCTGCTGGGATTTCAAGCCATTGAGTGATTTTTTTTTTTTTGCTTGTTTTCAGAGACATCTTCTTCATGACCAATTTTTAGGGTCTCTAACTGTCCTTCTCGTAGCTACTTGTGACCCTCTAGCACACCTTTCTTAAGCACTTTCCTACCTCTCTCGTTGTGCATTAAACACCTGTTCTGGTATGCCCTTCTTTCATATCCCTTTTCCAAGGCATTCTCATGCTCTCCTGATCTTGATCCATTCATTTCTTCTGTGTGAGATGGAGAAGTAGCCTGAGTTGTGTTGCAACACAAAGTTAGTTAGGCTATTCCGGTGCCGAACACTTTTTTCCATTTGTTGGGGATCTTACACAGAGTTGGCTTTTTCCAGCTGACCTTCTTCTTGTAATTCCAGTCTTCAACAGAAATGCTCTTTGAGGAATGCAACATTCAGTGAGGATAGAAGTGTGTCTACTGAGCTTTACTAGCTTGTGACAGGGCTCAGCACTTAGTTACTAACAGCAGGGGGCTCTGCTTGACTTTTCTCACCTGCTCTACAAACCGTGGCATTGTTAGAGGTCTTCCTCCTACTCCAAAAAAATAGTTCTGGCCTGCAGTATGCATGGCAGCCAGACTGATAATGCACTGGCTGTTCCTGTGACAAGAGTGGATTGGCTATTGCTCCTCTTTCCACTTGTGGTGTGCGTCTGTGTTCCTGCATCTGTCGCTGTCCACCTGTGCCTGCAACTGATACCCTGCAAAGGCTCACCCTAACCCTGGAGAAGTGAAGTGCGGTTAGAGCAGGTGCTGCTTTAGTCATTTATTTATTCACTGGACACAGCAAAGCCGTTCAGAAAATGTAGCACCACGTTTGTGTCATTGGATGACCTTGCCCCAGTAAGAAAAGGAGCATAGAAGATTATAGACAATATTCCTTAATGTGCTTTTCTTCATAGAACCAAAAACCTTGAACCTTTTTTTTCTTTCATGGCTTTCTTGACTGTATTAAAGAGTACACATACACGGAGGCTTAGGAAAAAGTATTTTCTTCGTTGCTAGACGTTCCAACAGTTGGATCATGGCTCCCACTAACTAACAATTGTCCATTTTACACTGTTTTGTTTCAAAAGACTACATTATTATATTTACCATTATTTTGATATAATGTAGTGTACAAAATATTGTACCACATGTGTGGATTATGGTGTTATTCCTTGCAAACTGCTGAATCAAGCATGGCTTCGTGTTTTAACTCTCTTTTGGTTTTCCCCTTTAGGGAATGCATATAAAATAGCTTTTGGTGGTAAGTAACCTCAAAGTGAAAAAAAATACTTCCAGATGCTAAAGTGCTTATTGTACATCAATATCCAGAGTCCATGTTCCTCTTTCTCCACAACAAAGTTGGGTTGGTTTTGGGGGGTTTTTTTTGGTGTAACAAGTAACGCCCCTGGTATGGGAGTTCTTGGGTTTCTCTGCTACTGATATACCGTTGTGCCCAGTGTTGCCATGTAACAGTTTATACCCGTTGATGTTTCTTTCTGAAATGATTTGATGAGAGGGACAGAAACCCCACTCAGGGTCACACCTCTTCAGTTTTTAAAACCTACAGTGTCCCTCCTCCCTTTGCTTTACCTGTGACAAGTCCACGGGAATTTTTGATGTTTTGGGCATTATGTCTGATAGTCCAGTGAGTTTGTTCCCAAAGTTTTTAAGAACAGCTTAAACTTGTGTTCTTAACCAGGGTGCCATGGCATCCTGTGGTGCCTTGAGATCCTTTCAAGGATGCCATACGATGCTAGGACCATTGGGTTGGCAATATGAATCACAGGATTAACCCAGACATTTCAAATAGGAATCCTTAGCTGTGGTTTTTGAGTTTATTGCAACAGAAATAAACTGCTCTATTTTTCCTGTAGTCAAAACAAGTGTGCAAACTAAGAGCTAGCATTTTTCGAGGGATGCCTCGAGTTTTAAAAAGTCGATAACCACTGTGTTAGACAAACAGTCATGTAGCATGATGTAGGCAGGGGTGATCCTGCCTTGAGAAGAAGTTGAGCTCTGTGGACCCTGCATTTCTATGATTTTTATGATTGCTACCAGTTTTTATTTGGCAGCTTGAGACTGAGCACCAGTTTCTGGATGCAGAAATGAACACTTGTGCTTTTTGATCAGGGATGCAAAGGAAAGGGCTCCTCCATCATTATCGTCTGTCAGAGAAGGTCTGTTGCTAGTGAGGCAGTTCCAGCACTGTACAAGGTGCTTCTTATATCTGGGCAAAATGATTTGTTTTGTGTAACTTCATTTCCCAGTTGCCGTTTCTTGCTTTTTTTAGTTCTAGCACCAGTCGTGGTGGGTTGTGTCATTTGCATTGGAGGTGTACTTCTGTACCAGAAGAAAAAGGGGTAAGTCAGCCTAAGATAGTGTTTGAGATTGAGTTTTGTTCCACAGCAGATTGCTACGAGAGCAACTTTGTGAGATTAGCTCTTCCTTTCCAGCTGCGTGGGGGCTGCACTCACTGGGCAGTGTGGCAACAGGGGCAGTGGCCAGGGGCATGTTCCTTCTCCCCATGCCTGCTTCAGGGCTGGCAAGGAAAAGGGGGAACATGCCTACTTGCAAGCTGGCAGGGGAAAGGGGGAATGTACCTGCCTGTTGCTGCAGCTGCCTGTTGCCACAGTCCTGGGCTGAATGCAGCCCCCATGCAGCTGAGCTGGAATGGGCAGTTGCTCCCCTCACCCCCCGCGTGCTGTCCCCGCAGCAGGCAAGGGTGTCGGGGGTGAGTGGGGGTGGAAATGAGAGGAGAGGGAAAGGCAAGGGGGCTTGCCTTTGAGCATAGAACGGGGTGGGGAGGGGAAATGTCTACCTGCTTTGAGACAGTGGGGGTGCAGCTGTGCCAGTTCAGCCC